ATGTTAAGTTCTCCTGAGGCCAGAACACTCTGAGACACTCCCCAAAACTTGCAAGACAAAGTGTCCAGTAGTTGGAGAAACTTAAGATGACCAGACTTTATTCCATAAATAAGAGAAAAATCTCAACATTAAAAACTATCAAAAAATTAGTAGAAAATTCCATTACATACAACTTGACCTAAGGATGCTCACTTTGGCCTCTACTAATTTTAATGGAATATTAGAAGAAATTATCTCTGCAAACCACAAGAATCTAAAAATAGAACCATTATTTTATTTTGAAAAGCCATTAAGAAATCTGATGAACTTCTACCTATTGCAATTTTTATTATCGTACACACACACCCACCCCAGATACAATCAGCTAACAGGAGTATTGCTTCTGCTGATTTCATAGGGAAAAGCTGTTCGACGCTGCACGACATAAGACGTTTCACGATTGTCTCTATCTGATGTATTAAGATAAATTGTTTCTCAAATACAGCAGGTATGATTTTAAAAATATGAATGTTAACCAGTTGTGTATTAGTTCTACCCAGAGAAACATCAGTAAACCAATATTTTTTTTCCAACAAAAATTAAATGTAACAACACTGAGCTGTGCCCAGGAAAAATAGTAGACTACATTACCTGTTACAGTGTTCTTGCTACGAACATAACACATGAACAGATACATTACTTTATATTTAACTAGCATATTTTAAATATTTATTCATAGTATTATTTGTAAGTGTCCAATTTTTCATGTGTTGTTGCCTAAGCCATACCCACAAAAGCTCCATATGCCTCTAATCTACAACCAAAGCTTACACAGTTGAGCACTCACACATATGGACAAACAGACTGGTAGTAGCTAGAATGTACTCATTCTCATACATGCTTGCAAGATGCAGTGAAGACTCCACACTATAAAGATATCACTCATGTTAACTAATTGCCATTAGTGCAGTATTTCTTATACTTGAGTGACACAGAAAAGTAAGTTTGCTAAAGGATAAGAGCCCCCTGTACACAACTCAGACACACAGACATACAATTTCATGAGAAAAAAAATATTAAAAGATCATGAGAACATTTCAAAAGTGTGTAGTTCTCTGGGGAAGGAAAAAATGAGCAACACAGATTTTAAACAGGAAGAATTTAGAATGAATCTGTGCCATCAACCCTCTCTTTTCTAAAATACAGTACAAGGTAGATCAATCAATAGAATGACTGAAGCACGCTACTTTCACTTTGGGTGCTCCAAAGGCAAAAGTCGATGTCATCAGGAAAATAATTCCTGTATGAAACCTGAGCACACAAGTATCAAGTGACTTAAAAGACATTTTCATCACTTTGTCAAAACCACATTAACATCCTGTAACTCAGAGGCATGGTTTGATTTTGCCTTTTTTTTTTTTTTTTAATTGAACTACTCAAGTACGTGAAGCCCTGACAACATCTGGTGCTGGAAAATCCAGACAATGATACACTACCTGCAAAATAATTGTGAAGTGACCAGGACAGACAATAATCTGTCTCACCAAATCAGACAGTGAAAGGAGACAGCCACACTGTTCAACTGCCTATGGAGCAAGGACCATGGAAATAACCTAATAGGAATATTCAGAAGGACCTAATTCAGCCATCTGTGACAAAGATAAATTTAGGAATCACACTTCAGGATAGACTTGAAACTCTTGTAGCTAGGTGCCTTCTGAAGAATGTCTTTTAGCTTCAAAAGGTAGAAATGATATCTCCAAGCATATCTGACACTCATCATGGAAAATCTAATTTCATGTGATAACCTTCTACACATGATAGTAATTTTATGGTTGCATCTTTACACTACTATGCCTCTTCCCTTCTCCTGAGACAGAAAGGACATTAGTGCAAAACACGAATCAGTTACAAGGAATGCGAAAGCCTGAAGAATCTTAAACAGTAGCAACAAAGCACTGAGAGATGACCTGCAAAACCTAAGGTATGAGGACTTAAGATTAGTTTTTAAATTCGATAAAATATGTACTGGCTGGTGGTCAATCTGTTAGGTAATCCACTTACATAACTATAATTTTAAAACAGGAATAAAAACACATTTAAAAATACCAATTCAAATCTGCGTGCTTAAATTAGTAATTGGACACCTGTATATGGCCTCTAGGGGCAGAGTGAAGAATTTCCTCTTGAAGAATGAGACACTAATAGAAAAACTCAAAACATTTTTGCCTGCCATTCTAATTAAAAAAAAAAAATGCCATTACTTGCTTTCAAATCATTTGGCAAAACTGTCAACTGCTAAAGTAAGTGCTACAGTGATACCATGGGCATCCAGCTTCTTTCTTCCCACAAACAGTGGTCATTTATGACCATGTTTAGTCAGCATACCCTTTCTTATACAGTTGCAAAACCGGTGGACAATCGGTGTTTTTTTGGAGAACAGCTTTACGTCAGCATGATAGCCAGAGTAGATTTGTAAGATGGAATTTTGTATGGGAGAATGGCTGTGCTTTAATTGTTTTTCAGTACTTGGTTGCATCGTGTTTATTTTCCATCTGAAACAATTAACGTAAGGACAACAAGGCAGGCTGAAGCTGCTCAAAATCCCCTGCAGACTCTGAATAGCTTTGTCCCCTAGCAACTACCAAGTAATTGGCACAAAATCTTCCCTCTCACCTGTCAGTTTCTGCTAGTTTAGATTCATACTGCCCAGGCTCAGCCAACTCAAGAGTTCATCTTTCCAGAAGTTTCAGGAAGCAGTGGTATCTACACCGAGACCACCATATTTTTGGCCATATGTTTTGCTCATAATATATAAAGCCAAATTAAAATTAAGACAAGTAAGTTTTGCTCAGTTACGAGACAAAGCTGTGCACTCTCCCAAGTCTGCCTAAGGTAGACACAACTGACGGCATCATTATAGCCAGCTCTGCTAATGAGTTGCTTGGGCCCATCTACACAGTACAGTGCAGCACCGTGTGAAGGTCTTGGCCATCAGCAGCTGGAACATCTGTATGCATACAGCAGGACCTTGCAGAAATATGCAAGCTGCATTTGCCAACCCATGCAGCATAGGGACAGCTGACCTAGGCAGGCCTGCACTGTGCTCTCAACAGCATCTGTAGGCCCTTTGGAAAGCCCCTCAGGGTGTCCACCCCCACCTCAGGCTTGGACTTTTAGAGAAATGTCAAGGCTGTTTCACATGTGTAGCACACTTAAAGCAGTTTCCCAATGCAGTTGAGTCAGTCCCAGGTCTAGTTGTCTTCCCTTGACCCACCTCCTGCTCCTGCCCTTGACCTTGCACAGGACCTTGTCTGACCCTCTCTGATGAGCCACTTGAAGGTTGAGCCAGCCAGTAGTGGGATCCTATACAGTTAGGGGGTTGTTGGTTGTTTTTTGTTGAGGGCTTTTTTAATGTTTGGGTTTTTTTAACTCCTTCTCCCAGTTCACTCTAGGGTGATTAGTGGTGGTGTAAGGGAAAAGATGGGAATCCACAGAAGTAGATTGAGTGCATGTGGGGAAGAGAGCCAGCATCAGTGTCAGAGAGCTGTGAGATCAGTTCAAGCTGCAACTTGATAATATAGCCAAGTTTGCTGCAGGAAAATACTGTAAAAGAGTACTCATAACTTAGCAGCTGGAGGTATTTAACTATGCATACATAACATATTCTAGAGGAAACCCAGGAGCAAATATTTCTATTAAGTCACAGTAGTAACAACAATCTGTCTGACTAAAAGGAAACATGACTTTCAAACTTCTGGAATATACACATTTGAAACTAGCACTCTCTGGTGAATGTACAGCAATGGTAAGTCAGCAGTTTCCAAAAATGGATTTCATTGCTTACAGTTTTAAGCGTGGCACGGCAGTCTTACAAGCAGCAAGCTGTTGTTACTCTACAGTAGTGGTAACTGCCTAGCAGGAACACAGTGTTTGGCACTTGGCTGCCAGAAAGTAAATTCTCAGATACAGGTAATTCACAGTAGAGGTAAACAAGTAATTGTCAAAATTAACTACAGGTCATGCAGCTACTGCTACTCATTATAATAAGCTAAGTACGTAGACAATCTAACTCACCCTGTTCTTACTACATTGTGTTGAAACTCCAAAGAACTAACAAATCATGTTCATATGAGTCCTCTAGAATGAAATTTGGACATTCTCCCATGAAAACAAACATACTTGCTCAGCTGTTTTCTGTTTCCCATTAACTGACCACAACAAAGCAACAGCACAGGTCGTATTCCCAACTTCTGAAACAATTAGCTCACATCTCAGGTAAGAACCACTGTTAGGTGTTATTTGGTTGCCTTCCTTTTTTATTAGAAAGAATGCAGTTATCCTCATTTAAACTGCCTTGAGATGTTCATACCATTTTTCGTAATGATTGCTTTTCAAAAATATAGGTGCTGAATGTGATTATTAAAATATCAAGGAATAAACAAATACATGGAAAACCTTGTTCTACAAAATGCATTGAAACTGATCTTCCAATAACATCACTTTTTGATCAGTGGGATTAAATTAGTAGAGACTCCTTCCTAGCTGACCTTCAAATAACATCCCTTTTTGTCAATAGGATTGAACTAGCATAGAATTTTTCCTAACACTGTAATAGAAAAAAAAGAAATACAAAAATAAAAGCAAGAAAACCAGCATACCTAGCAGTAAATGCCAGTTTTCACTTCTGAGTAACTGCATTTAGTATGTAGTAAAATGATGTTAACGTTGAATTATTTATTTCTTGTTAAGTTCCTTTCACCTGACAATCTAAAAAAATATTTTTGAAACAGAAAGCTTTAACAGCCGCAACTTTCCTTAATGTATCTCGCATGAGTTTTGTGCACAGTTCCTTGGGCTAGTGATAATTTCTCAGTATGATGTGCAGACGCTTAATGGTGTACTCCTAATGGAAATTACTAGACTTTTTTTCCACATCCCTGAGTCAGCATCACATCTTTTTCCATGTATTCTATAATAAATATTGGTAGTATTTGGCAGGAATCAGATAAGTAACTCACCTTCATCTAAAGGAACCTCTTCCTCCTCGCAGGGAGAAGGAAGGAGGGGCTGCAGAGGTTCCATGTTGATTATGAGTTGCTTGTTCAATGAGGGAGAGCTGCGACTCTGGGTAATGCTGTTTCTAAAAGAACAGGAAAAACAGGATCAGTTTATTCACAAGGAAAGAACTGCAGTCCAATACACCTAACCTCAGACTTGTTTTGCATAAATTACAATACACCTTGAGCTATTATAACAAGCTCTGCACACCGAACACTGCTTTCAGCCATGTTACGTTGCACCCCTAGCAGATTTATATAAACCTTTCAACATCTGAAATGTAGGAGAAGGTTTTGTGTTGGTTTATTTCCCTTTATGCAGCCAGACTCTTTCTCATCTCATGCAGGATTTCAGTGTGTTGCTCCTCCCCACGCTGCACAGCAGACATGAGTATTAGGCTTCAAGAAAGGAGAAGGTAGACAGGATACAAATTATTTTCCTGAGGTTGTTCCACTGCCTCTGGGACTGGGTAAGGATTTGTTACGGTCTGTGTACTGCAGACTAAAGACCGAAGCAGGAACAACTGTATCCCTTCAGTTAAGAGATACACAGTGCTCTGATTCTCACGCCAGATACTGACTCTGCACCATGCCTCCAGGAGCTCAAGCTGGTTTTCTTTCTTGTCTTACTTGACTCTACCAGCCTTTCCTGGTAGCAGGTGCTGAACTTTCTCGGGAAAGTTTGAGGAATGTTGTCGATTCACTTCAGTCATAAGGCTCATTAGCCTAAAATCATATTGCTGAGAAAATAAAATAGCTCTTTAGAATATTTTACATGATACAGGCCTGAAGCAAGAATCCTGCAGCAAATACAAAGCATTACATTATAAAATACTTACTTTTGACAAAAGCAAAGGTGAAATATAAGAGGATTCTACTTGAGCTCAAGTGGTACACAGGTACAGGGCTGAAGTTTCACAAAATGCACTTCAAGTTTTTATAAAGACTGAAGTTAAAATTTCACATAGATAAACAAACTGAACGAAGCACCTATTGCAAGTAAAAAGAAGGGACTGCGTGTTGCTGAGGGCTCAGTTAAACTCGGGACACAGATGTCCTCTTCTAAGTCACATTACATGTCATTAAATATTCTCTGGAGATAACAAGCTTTCTTGCTCAATTGCCATAATTCCTTGCTCATTAACGTATGCCCAAAGCTACTTATGTCCTCATTTGCATCCTGTGAGCAGCCTCTAATAACGAGTTAGTTCAAATTTTTACTGTTCAAAGAAGTTTTTCACTCAAAGTGCTACAATCACTCTAATCCAACAGTACCTCTACAGTCTTGTTAAGCACACCTTGTATCTTTGTGCTTGCTGTAACGAGCTATCAAGTAACTCTCAAAACAGGAGTTGTGCCTGGGAGCCAGTAAGGCTCCTACTCCACATTTATTTACAAAGACCCCTCCTTCAGGCATTCCCCAGAAGGAAAATGTTTAATCATTCACTGTGTATTTGTCAGAAGAACTTGCCACTGGAATAAATGCTGCATGACTACACACTCTCAGTCTGTAGTGCTTTAAGTGTAATATCCAAACACAAAGATACTGACCAATAACCTCTTCACAACTGCATATTTCTTTCTCAATGCAGCCATGGTACCACTGAATTGACTTAGAGGGAGGTGGCACAGGGAGAGAAAACTTTAAATATAAAAATACATATATTTACTTCCAATCATATAGTTTCCTTTAAAAGTTTTGCATCAGAAAAACTACCATTTCCTGTCCCTAAATCCTCCTTCACAGACCAACTTGTTTCTAAGCTTGCTTTTTTCGGAGATGAATACTGTCTATGCCGTTTGCCTACTTATACTATTAGAAGGATAAGCTATCTACCGGTGTCTCCCATTTCAAAACCTGCATTATAAAAACATTTGAAATCATTAGACTTTTTGTTAAATCTTTCTAAGAAACTGAACAGGGAGCTACCATAATACTGTAAATGAAAGCATTTTAAGAAGGTCAATCATGAAAAATATACATTACTATTTATGGGTGTGAAATCCATATCCACATTGCTCTATACACTTATTTGCCCTCTGATCCATTACTTTATGTACGCTAAGAGTTTTAAACAATATGTTTAAAATACTTTAAATACTGAAAGCAAAGAAAAGTAAAATGCAAGATAAAAAATAACTTCATGTTAAAATCTTTTCTTATGCTATGGAAGAAAGAAACTCTATAGAAACTAGGCAATAAGCTGTTTCCTTACATGAATAACTATCTTCATTTAAAATGCATTTCTGTGCCCAGGTAATCTACCCTGCCTCAATAATGGACCTATATTCTGCTTTCTGTGTTCTCAGATAACACATTCTAGACATCTGCAAAAGCATGTTCAAAAGTATCCCTGCATGGCCTTACTATTAATTACACAGTAGGGCTGGACAACATATTTATAAATATTTGCTGCAAATATATTCCTACCCTTTAATAAGAACAATCCTCTGTTCTCTAAAATATAGATAGAATAGCCATATTCAATTATAAATAAACCAAACACACAACCCCCACCCCTGAAAGAAATCACAATAAAAATAGGGATATGACTGTGAAATGTACAGAAAGCTAAGTAACTTTTCAAAAAAGTTTTTAAACAGTTTTTTCCTGCTGGCCTCTTTCTTCTCCTCTGGTGGACTTTAATAAGGTTCTTATCAATTTTCACTGTCACTACAATGAGTGATAAGAAGCAGAAAGTATTAGTTTGCTTGCAAAGTCCAGCTGCTTATTTCTAACAAGCCAATTTTTTTATCTGAAAAAAAGAAAAGATTCTCTGATCTTTTTTCTCTTTACTGTATGGACTTCTTGATTTTTAATATGACTGCATTATAGAAAAACTATCAACTATACTTTTACACAGACTTACATACATACACAAAACAGAATCTTTCAAAACCAGGCAAGAATGAGGAATGAAATGAGAATGTACTTTTCTTGTACTTGTACAAGATCTGTTCTTGTACTTGTCAGGATTATGTAATAACTGTCTATATCATAACACAGAAAATAATACAAGGTACTTATCTGACTGATTGATTAAGCCCAGCTTCAAAGCAGCACAGATTAAGTTCCCTTGTGTAGGAGACAATACGCTACTGTAAGAGTTTTGTAATGCTGGCAACACATATTCCCCAAGGCTTGTGTCCTGGTTGCCTCATTGCTGAAGCTCAGAATGGCAGCCATTACATCTTACAGTAAAGAGAATTTCTCCATAGAGAACAACAATCCTTCTTAGTCCTTAAACTTTAATAATGAGTGTCAACACATACCTGTGAACTTCAGGAGGTTCCCTCTGGATTTTAGAGCTTGCCTCCACAACTTCTTTGGCTACTTTTCCACTACATTAAAATATGAAATAAATATTCAAGCAAATACTAGAATGAGCTCATTACATGCCAAGCACTATACATACTTGAATAATTAAGTTCCATAGAAAAGAAGAAAAGGAAAAGACAAAGAAAATATATCCCATGTAGTGGATACGTAATGTCCCAGACTAAAAATTCTGCTGATCACTTGTCTGCAAAACTACTGAAGAAAATGCAAACTTTTGCAGTAGAACACTAGGAGTGGGACTGGACTGTTCCACTAAGGCACCCTTGGTCCAGAGCTGCCCAGTTACAGGGGGCATACAACCTCTACACTAGCCATACATCCTTGTTTATACAGAAACTGCACTGAAAGTAGAGCCCTGTTCTGGTGAAACTGCTTTTTGACAGAAGTCCCCATGAACCCTCCAGTTTGTTTTAGAAGTGACACTAAAGGGACAACAGAAAATGTTTTGAATCTTGACCTGGATTAGGTGTGAACAGCCCTCAATTTACCATGGGTAATTATTGACATTTTCTTTTACATTCTGAAATGGATTACCATGAAAAACAAACAGCAAACACCCACCTATATCGAAATCTACTGCCCTTAAAAAATATCTTGCTGCTGGACATGGTCTTGATCTGACTGGATTTTGCATACCTTGAAAAAAACAAAAGAATAGAGGCTGTCACATTTTCAGCACAGAAGGAACCTGATAAACAAAAATGAACAAGGCCAACTACAAGAAGCTTTGTTGTTTTTATACCACAAATTAATATTCAGTAATTGGGTTTTCCAACTTTTTCTAAGGTCTTTATACAAATTAGAATATAAAGCATACATAAAACAATTCAGACAGCATAGAACAATTGAACATAAAACAAGTGATTACCTGGAGAGAAAAGCAAGAAAATTAAATGCTTACACTTGCTGCATCTCTAGGGACTTTCATTCACAAGATCAAATAAAGACCTTGGTAAACCAAAAGCCCCTAGGACAAGTTTGCCCTAACACCACCTTGTTTGTGGTAAGATATGGCTATTTCCACTTTCCCACAAGTAAAGTAAAGAAATAATAAGTTGTAACACCCACGTGGATGAGCAAGGAGCTCATGGGAAAACTCAAAGGAAAGAGAAAGGTCAATGAAATGTGGAAAAAGGGTCTAGCCACATGGGAGGAATATAGGAATGCGGTCAGGGTCTGCAGGGATGCAACTGGGGAGGCTATGACCCACTTGGAACTGAATCTGGCAAAGGAGGTTAAAGACAACAAAAAAGGTTTTTTTAGGTACATCAATAACAAAAGGCAGACCAGGGAAAATGTGGGCCTGCTGCTGAATGAGGCGGGTGCCCTGGTAAGAGGAGACACTGAGAAGGCAGAGATACTGAACGCTGCCTTTGCTTCAGTCTTCACGGCTAAAAGTGCCTCTCAGGAATCCCTGATGCTAGAGGGAAGAGAGAGAGTCTGGAGAGAAGAAGACTGTCCCTTGGTTGAGGAAGAGCTAATCAGAGATAGTCTGAACAAAATCAATTCACACAAATCTATGGGACCCATCAGGATGCACCCACGAGTGCTGAAGGAGCGTCAGAAATGATCGCTAAACCTCTCTCTATCATCTTTGAAAGGTCTTGAAGAATGGGAGAGGTGCCTGAAGAGTGAAGGATAGCCAATGTCACTCCAGTCTTCAAAAAACGCAAGAAGGAGGATCCAGACAACTACAGGCCAGTCAGCCTCACTTGCATCCCTGGGAAGGTGACGGAACAGCTCATTCTTGAGACCATCTCTAAGCAGTTGGAAGAAAAGAAGAAGAAAAGAAGGTTATCAGGAGTAGTCAACATGGATTCACTAAGGAGAAATCATGCTTGACCAATCTGGTAGACTTCTATGATATCATCACCAGCTGGGTAGATGAGGAGAAATCAGTGGACGTTGTCTATCTTGATTTCAGCAAGGCTTTTGATACTGTCTCCCAAAACACCCTTGCAGTAAAGCTTAGAAGGTATGGGATAGATGAGTGGATGGTGAGGTGGATGGAGAACTGGCTGGCTGGCAGAGCTCAGAGTTGTGATCCATGGTGCAGAATCGAGTTGGAGGCCTGTAACTAGTGGTGTTCCCC